ATGTGTTCATGTCAGCATGGTAAGGGACACTTTCCCATAGATAGGACAAACCCGACACCATCAGTATGTTTTTTGTCTTGTCCATCACCTTCATCAATTGTGGGGACACCAAACTTTTGTGTCAACAAGCAGGGCTTTTAGTTGTCCTTGTTAAATGACACACCTGCAGCAGTCTGTCTACCACAGGAATGTTTCCAACAGTAATCTGTGAGATGACCACATAAAACTTTATCATTACAGCAGCAGAAGTAATTGGATTCAGCAGTGGAAATAAATGGCAATTCAAATAAATAATTAAGTAACTTAACAATTGAATAATGTAGATAATAAACAATATAGTTGCACCTGCTGGTGTGGGACACCTTTATCATTCTTATTAGTAAATGGAGTTTAGTAACCTTACACACTAAACATCTGTTTACAGAGAAAGATTAAAAAAACAGTACAAATGCCCATCTGTATATTAAAACTTGAATTCTTGTCACAAAGAAAAACAAAACCAACATACGTGTTAGTATTTTATTTTTTCTCCCTGACTAATACTACATAGTGTAATGGTGTTAAACAATTTTAAGTTTACAATTTTGCATTATGTCACAATAGGCTCAGACATGATAATTGTGCTGGGATGAGCAGTGTTATTATGAATCACTTTGGTGACTCACACCAAATGAGCACCTAATGCTCTGAAGACTCAAACTCTAATGGTTTATCAAACCACAGCTGTGTGTAGAGCAGTCAGCTAGCATCGGCATATTCTGATGGTCTATGATTGGACTCTGGAGGCTTATTCTTTTAACATTAACTCGTGTCAGTTCTACTCAGTAACCATACAGACAGTGCTCTAATTAACCGTCATACTTTAGGAACCACACTCCAGCCAGTGGTCTGACTTTTCAGATTGTTAACTTGATGAAACCCAGTGGGCTGCTTCTTTGTATTCAGGCTCCTTGAATGAAACAGCAGAGAGCAGGTTACATCTAACAACTCCATTTTTATAGAAGGTGTTTGCTTAAGCCCGATGACAGTAACAATCAGATTTGTGCTATGTCGTTTGGCTCCTTGCTGTTGTTTGTAGCTGAGGTCGGCTGCTGATCAGACCTATTTTCCACATCGAGTCGACTCCTCTGTCTCCAGCAGGGGACAGTGAAGGAGCAGCATCTCTGTTACGTCAGAACTAAAGAAACAGAGCACAACAGTGAAAGCAATGGGATGCTTCCTGTTTGTCTCCCCATTGTTGTTATTCTTTGCTTTCTTAGTCATCCTGGAGGAGCCGTGGAGAGGAAGAGAGAGAAGGAGACAGAAGTGAACATGTAGGAGGATTGTTGACTAAATGATGAATAAATAAGAAAGTCTTTGTTGTCTTAAATTAAGGCATTTATTTCTGGATTCAGGAAACAGGAACAGGAAACATATGAGATGCATCATATTATCTGCTCAATCATTCCTTTCTCCATGTCCTCACTGAGGAAATGGACATAGTTAGTTTTTCTGAAGAACACATTCCAGTAAGAAGAGTTAACAGATCAGAGAAGCAGATGTCAGACACATTGCACTTTTCACGACTGGACAGTCTGACATCAAAGCCCTTTCACATTACACATAGTTGCTTGATTCAGTTTCTTTTTTCCTTCTATGTTTCCTTTCTGCTCACATTTGTCCTGCAAATGGTTTAATAAAGACTTCACAGTTACTGCAGTGGTACAAACCTTTCCCTTTCAAAGGTATACTTCTGTTGGTGTGTCCACGCTGGTCCTCATGTGGGTGTGGGTAAAAAAAAAAAAGGGAGTCTATCCACAACCTCTCCTATCAGAACAGATTAGGAGGTGTGTCAAAAAAAAGGGTAAATTTCATCCAGCAATCCAGGTAACACCTTCAACAAAATCAGCATCATCACCCTCATCATCATGATTTTTATCATTAGAATGAATAAGAGCTAGTAAGATGCACCTCAGCATTTTCCTCTTGTTCTTCTGTGAAGCACTGCACCCAGTGTTGCGTAATGATCAAAGATAATGTACAATGATGAAATATTTTGTATTTTCTGTGCTGCACCTTCATACTGACAGTAAATCTTCCAATGTGTGAATGGATTGGTTTGACATGAAATGAGGCCTTTGCCAACTCTCTCAGTTGCCTGTGGAGTGATTTCTTTGTAATGGACTCTGGGTGAATTTCCTGGGAAAATACAAAGGATGTGACATTGATACTCGCTTGCCTCAACGCCTCTCTTCCACTCCCCTACAGTGCCAACAGTGTGCAACGTTGTGCAAAAATGTAGCTACTGTAAAAATGGAGTCTGCTGATGTCAGCAGACGACTGGCTCTCCCATGTCAGTCAAATTCATGGTCAAACCTATCTCCACACTCAAAGGTGTGTAGGTTTTTGTTTGAACGTTAGGTAGGACACATTCATTTACACACCTCCTAACGTGTTTGTTGGAGGTGCAAACAAACACTAGGAGGTGCTTTTTTAAGAGTGTGATTTTCCCTACAGATTGCCTGATATTTTGTCAAATGATGCCTGATATACACATACCAGATTTACTTTTCGAAATCTTATTTAAATATTTGCTCATGCTATAACAGGCTAATAGGCTAGTGTTTTCTCATAATGGCTTTGTTTGTTTTAGAATGATAACATCGATGTGAGTGCGCTGCATTGTGATGTATTCGATAGTTACACTAGTTCCAGACCAAGTGTAACGGGACGTAACCTTTAAATGTGCATGTGGCACCTATGAATGATAAATTTATTCATCTCAGTAAAAGTAAACTTCCTTGTCTAAAAACGTAGTCAAATAAAAGTACAAAGTAAGTCGGTTAAAATGTACTGGGTAAACATAACTGTGCTGCATTTTTAAAAGCAGAAGGGGAGGGATAAAAAAACATATGGTCATAATGATCATTATTTTTTGTTACGCCCTCACACAGTTCATCATAACGTCATCATGGGACTTTTGTTTTTACTCTGTGATGATTTCAAACTTTAAATGTAGCAAACTAAAATTCTTGAGTAAAAAAAAAAAAAAGAAAAACCTGAGTAAGAGTGAAATTACCGATTTTTAAAAATACTCCAAAAAGTACAAGAACAAAAAAACCCCAACTTTGTTGCAGTAGCAAGAGTAAATGTAAACCCTTACTTCCACCCATGATAATGACAGTGTAACTTTAGTTACCTCATCTGTCAACATCATGCCAGTCAATCATCTTCTGTCACGTGTCATGTCAGTGTTTTGGCCGGTGGCCAGGATACTCATACCTACAGAGTATGAGCATGCAAGTGTAATGCAACAGGATGCTGACTGCAGTTCACTCATTGGCCACCAGTGTCATTAATAAGAAGGGTTTTCTGAATGTTACATGTAGAACCTTTAATGTCCTCTGTGAAATCAGTGTATCTGAGCTAAACAACCACTTACCATAAAATATACGATTGTTGGTTTATAAAGCACTGACTGGTATTGGACCGCAATACATCTACTGCTACATTATATTCTGACATTATTTGCTTACTGTCCTCAGATTCAAAACTAAACAGAGAAGCATTATCAGTTTATATGCACCACACATCTGGTGGTGCTCCAACTCTCCGATCTTACATAAAGGCTTACAACTACCTTGTTTGTCTGCCTTTTACTGAATTACATTGTTAAAGTGTTAAGTCTATGTGGAGGCTTTGAGCATCGCCTTCAGAAGCTACAGTTAAATAGCACCCAGATTATTAAGGGAAAAAAAAACATTCATAGGTGATACAACACTTTGACTGCAACAGGTTTTTGTGGCTCTATGTGGAATCTGATGCCTTTTTTCCATCTGTGGACCATTTGTTCATGAATGAGGCGTGTCCTTCCAGTTTAAAGAGAGGAGAAAAAACCCCGGAGTACTCTTACTGAATAAAGCTGTTTTTCTGTGTCAGAGTAGAGAGAGTGTGCGTGTGTGTAAAAGGGAAAAAGAAAGCAAGCAAGTGTAAGGAAAGGAGAGTGAGAGAGGTAGAGTAGAAGTGGGAGGAGGCTAAAGAGGCTTTGAATCTGAATAAAATAAGATTGGTCTTTTGTACTTAATGTTGCTCACAGTGCAAATACAACAAGAAATAGAAAGAAGCATGCATACTGCTGGAGATGACATTGGTTGTTTCCGCTTCAAATTAAGGCCGTAGTAAGTAAAGCACAATATGCGTTCCAGTTAAGTGGGTCTAGCTCTAAAATGTAATAAGTGTTAAATAAAGAGTTAAATTCATCACCTCAGGGAGTCTGATAAAGCCACATTTTTAAGTGACACTGATGTATGCTCCAAGGCAAAGTCAGGTTGTTATTGTCTGATTGCCTCAGACATGGACTTTCACTGACATTTCTTTAGCGTGAATAAATGGGGCCTCATGGGTAAAGGAAGTCCTTTCTTATATGCATTTTAAGGGCACAGCTATGCTATGTTAAATTCTATGTTAAAAGCTATATTAAGATGTAATAGTGAGGGGAGAGAGAGTGTGAACAGGTCTGCAATAACAAAAATACACCAATAACAATATGGAGTTTTGTGTGAATTTTATGTCATTTTGTGAATGACTGAAGTCTTTACCTCAGAGAGAACCCTGTTTTCCTTCACTTCACTTCTTAGCTGTATAAAAGAAAAAATTGCTCACGGCATGAGGGGAGACTTCTTTCAAGTATTTGGGTCAAAAACAAAACCTACTGCCTGTGAGAGAGCGACCACGGGGGAGAGGGACAGGGGGGGACGAGAGGATAGCAGGGCAGACAAACAAAACTTCTTTAGAACACATGGACTTTCCCCACGTGAATCAATATTCAAGCCTTGATCCCCCCGTTGAGCAATGAGGACAAAGAGAAGAGCGAGCTGAAAGACAGATGAGACAGAGGGAGGGCTGTGGGATGTCATGTGTAAAGAAGGAGATTCTCATTGGAGGCAAAGAGAAAGAAGATTGCCATGCATGTTTTGAGGAAAAGGGGGAAAAAAGGAAAAGCAAAGCGCATCCTACATATTGAAGCCATCTTGGTAGCACTGCTACACTCTGGACTCCAGGACTCCAGATCTGATTATTAGTAAGGTAAGTTCAGGACAAATAGCTGTCACAAGATCAAAAGATGCAATTAAATTATGAAGTTGAGGGTGGAAGAACATTTCTGTTTCTAATTGTCGTTGGTGCAGGAAAAAGAGGACATGCACAAATATTTCAGCTCACTGACAAGGCTCTGTATTGGGATGCATTTGCTCTTTCCTGCATGGCAAAAAAAAGTTGTTTCTTTAAAAAAAATATTTTGAAATATAGATTTTTATTTTGTCTGTTTGTTTGCGGTGTGGAGCTGTGTTTTTTTCAGCAGTTATTCACTCACAAGTCACAGGGGGACAAACGCTTAATTTGTCAATGTTCTTGCTCAAGATATCTACTCATGTACTGAACTAATTTGACTCTACATCTGACTTTTTTAGATTTTCAAGCAGATTGTTTTAAAATTCTTAAATTATACAATATATACAAATAACTAATTGTAATATTAAAACCACTACCAAACAATTAATTGCAACAAGTCATCACCATCTGTCTGCAGAGTGATGAGTGACAGGCTGCACCTGCAAACAGCTGGAAAACAGCCAAATCATTTCTGTATACAAGTTATATAAACAGACTGTAATAACTTTACAATGACAGTACAAATAAAACCTTGTGTATTCAAAGTCACTTTTTGTTCAGTGAATACAATGAGGACTCATTTTGTGATGTTTTGGGCTTGCTTTTCTTTATTCTTTAGTGTAGTGGCTTTGAAAAGAGCCCTAACAAGAGTGGAATGATGTCCTCCAAGTTGAAGTGGCTGATTGTGATCCAGCTCCTGCTGAATGAACAGGCTCTGTGCAGGGCCCCACCTCCTCTGGCTCAGAGGAACACTCTGCCTCTAGGAAGTGACTTCCGTGGAGAGATGGAGGAAATGTCCAAACAGGATCATCACTCTTTCCTGGGATCTCGACTCCAGCTCGGTCTCCCATCCGCTGAAAAGACTGGTCCTGTATCGGTGGCTGTGCAAAAAGAGGAGAGAGTCCAGTCTGCCAAACACATGATATCAGGCCTCAGGGCGAAGTTTCAGGGGCTGATTAAAGATCATCTCCACATTCAAGGGAACGTCAGCTGTGAGGAGCTTCTGTCTGCCAGCACCATCGACGACCCACTGACTTCCATGTTCCCCCAGGAGCTGCTGGGTCTCTCCTTAGTGCCTGTGTTGGTGGTGGCAGGATGCCCGAAGGAGGCACAGACCCTGGTTCTGAAACTGTACGACCTGCTGGGAGTGGTGGACACGGAGGAGCTGCTGATGGAGGTGCAAAGTCTGATAGAGAGGAGGATGAGCAAGTCAGCGTCTACACCAGCACCTGCATCAGCAACAGCATCTTCACAGAGGGATCAAGCAGGGCGCCACATAGAGGCTGTGATGTTTAACATCCAGCAGTTGGTGATGGTGGGAGAAGAAACCTCTGAGCAGGAAGGACATTGTGAGGGTTGGACCAGGGTGAATGGAACCATGCTGGTAGGAACAGCTGTGGAGGGAGCCACAGACAGTCTGGAAGAGGCTGTAAACAGCTGCGAGAGACTGGGAGTCATGTGTGCTGGTGTGACCAACAGTGGACTGCACACACCTGGCATGTACCAGGCCGTATTGAAGAAAGGCAGCCGGATCCTGCCATCTGACTCCTCAGGGTCTGAATGCTGGATCCGTCGGTGCAGTGCAGAGGAGGATGTTTCGGTCCCCGCTGCTTCAGGCCGACCGCGGATGAAGCGCAGCCCCCAGAGGAGCTGTATCAACAAAAACGAGGAGCGTGTGTACAACGTAGTGGAGTGGATCCCTGCAGTCAGCACCCTGTACAACCTCGGCACAGCAGTGTATTACGCCTCAGTCAACTGCTCCGAAACAGCCAAGGAGAGGGCCATCCTCAGTGCTGTTGACCTGGGCACTGATGCTCTCATGGTTGCCACGGGGGGAACTGCCGGGGTGGCAGGTTACGCTCTGGGTGCAGGGGTGAAGACAGGTGTGAAAGCTGGAGTCAGGTATCTGCTCAACTCCATGAAGCAGGAAGACGACGTGCTGGTGAACCAGTTCAGCTGGGAGGAGGGCGTCCTCACCATTCAGTAGACTGAAGGATCAATGAATCAGCCTATGAAGTTTTAATTAGTTTATATGTTTGTTTTTTTAAGCAAAGACACAGGATCAGAGTTTGTTAACTGACATGGTTGAAGAGTAAAAAATTGGTTTACCAGACTCAATATAATGTAGATTATATGGAAAACAGTATTGTTTTACACAGTGGATTATCAAAATCACATCTTGAAAGGGGAAAAAAGCTTTTTCTGTTTGTGTGACGGTGCACACAAACCTCATTTTACACAAGTTAACTCAATGATTATTCTTGAAGATGATTTCAGTGTTTTTCATTTAGTCTGTAAATTTCAGTAAATTACTTGTTTTTCTAGAAGGTGACAATCGAACCTACAAAAAAAATGAAAGTACAGTTAGCTTAGGTGTAAAGTAGATAAAATTACACATTACAGGAATTGCAAACAATCTCGGTAATCTATAACAAATTAGATAAAATAGTTGAACAATTTATCATAGCAGCAACATTTAAGAAAAACTGGTCTCAGGAACTACGCCCTTAAACCCTCAAGAACCTTGATTTTGCCCTCCGTCCACTGTCTTTTCCTCTGGTTTCTGTCCTTCCTCACTCTTGTTGTTTTCTTCCTCCCATCAAAACCTTTTGTCAGGTCAGAGTCACACTCTCACCTCTGGTGTAATTGCAGGGACAGTAGACTGGTAACTAAATTTTATTGTTTTATATGTTTTTCTTTAAGTGTTAATAAATTGTGTGTGTAAATGTGTGTGCATACAGTTTGCTGTCAGTGTGGTAGTTTAGTATATAATCAGACTGCTCGTTCAAAAGTAAGCCTGGTTTTGTGGCGAGAAATAATGTTAAACGCGCATGAGGCGTGACAAAGGAGATTAAAGAGAACAGAGTGACTGACCTTCACAATCATATTGATAGTTCTGTGTTTCTTTTGATAGCATCAACCTCCTTTCCAAACGGTGCTGCACCCTCTTCTCTATGCGCACAACAGTTCACCACTTGTGTTTTGACAAATATTTGATGTACTGTCACAGTCTTTTTTCCCACATGGAATAGCATGGTGGTTCAGAGAAAGAAAATCCTGAGGAGACCTTTGTCACAGAAAACATTGACATGTCACAGTAGGAAAGTGCAGGTGTAAATAATAAAATCAGTGAGTTTGAAATTTAATTTGAATAGAACAGAGTCATTGTGTCTCTGTGCCGGCAACAGCCAGGGCCGGAGACATTATATTTTCAGATTATCCGTCCCATCCTGTTGAACGCGATATCTAAGTAAGCCCTTGAGGGAATTTCTTCAAACATTCTTGGCACAAACATTCATCTAGACTCAATAATGAACTGTTTAGATTTTGGTGATCGAGTTCAGAAGTTCTGAAGTGGCAGAGGCATACAACTGCAAGGTGAGAGTTAATGTTTGTCTACTGTTGCAAAAAGAATTTGGATACATAGTCGAGTTGGCTGACACCTCTCAGTGTGTTTAACTCTCTGCCTGTGTTTGTTCCATCACAGACTAGTGAAGTGTTGCCTGCTTCTGGGCAAGTTCATACTGGCACAGGTTACTGCACCCTGAAAAAGATAGTCACAGGGAAGAACACACAGCCTGCTTCCTTGTAATGAGAAAAAAGATTGGATTTTTTTCTAAAGCTACGCTAGTTTAAGACCTATCTCTTGTCTATGATGAAAATAACCTTAGTTTGAAACCTCTTTCTCAGGTTTTCACATCTAGTATAGTAAGGTTATATCTAAGGACAGATATAACAATGTTTATTTTTGACATTATCAAAGGCAGGAACTGTTTATCTATCCTGATTAAGCAGGTGTGGTGAGCTGAAGGCAAGAAACACTAAAACGTCTTGGTGATTTAATAAATACAGTTGAACCCAGATAATTGCAAGATGGCCAGTTGAAGTAAAAAAATCCTCCAGTGACACCTTGTTAAAGCAGTAACTCTATAGTCTGTAATCTGTAGCTGACAATGTGCTTTGACTCTGTCTGCAATATTTTTGAGAATGTGGTGATTTCGACACCCTGAGAAGGAGTTTACCTTGAATCACAGACAAATTACATGTGTTTGTATTTTGTTATTTTGTAGATTCCGTATTCTTACAGAGAACATTTTTGCACAGTTAAATAAATGTAGGGAATGTGAATTAACATGATTCGAAAAGACAATTCACAACTCATACCGAGTACAAATATAAAGTTGATCTTTATAATGCTTTAAATTTGTCTGTACAGCAGCTAATCAAGTGCTGTACATTAATAAACACACTTACTTTACTGAAGCAACTTTTTTGGAACAATTTTTCAGCCAATCTTTTATTAAAAAAAAACAAAGCAAACAACTGTATGTTAATGTGCTGTCCAGGTCTGCTGAGTTAGCATGTAGCAATAAAGGCTACTCTCTCCCCTGTTTTTCAGTGTAAAAGATGCTTAGTTATTCCTAGTGAGGTTGAGATGAAGCTTCATGAAGCATTGAACCATTGCAGCAAAGCCGTTTGAGAAAGGATTCATTTCTTGATGCTTGCTATGAACAGTGTGACACCTACTGGCCAAAATGTAAAATAGGCAAATACAAATGTTTGTATATTACAAGTTAAATATACCTTCACAGTAATTAGTGTAAAGGGAATCAACATATTTTCTATGCTTTCCATGTATTAATATGAGTCAAGTTTGGGTCAATATCTATGTTTTAGAAGTCCCTGGTGGATCCATCGCAAATACAACCAAGCCACTTACACGCAAAATGTCATTCAGTGTAATGAACCAAGAACTATGACAATGCACCATTTCTCTAAATAGTCTTACACTCACTGATCACTTTATTAGGAACATCATTCTCATACTTTTTTACTACCGCTGCTGAAGTCATAAAACCAGGAAAATATTAACTAACTCCAAGATCATTTATTGTGCCTTCAATAGAGATGCAATAGGGGGTCTCTGTGTAGAGAAGGTCAAAAAGCATTTCAAAGAGGATAACATCATACAAACTACTTGTTTGCCAAACTTTTTAAAACAGGAAGACTTTTTCACAATGGTCAGAGACAAGGGGAGGGAGTGTGAGGAGTATCCCTTACACAAGATACAGTGAAGGTCAGGTGAGGACTCACACATGTACCAAGATAGGCAATATCATTTCAGCTTTGCTGTCACATGCACACTGACTGCACCTGATTTTTGATCATACAAATTGGATTCTTCTTCTTCAAGAAAGAAAAGATGGATTGTGAGATGTTTATCATTCTGTGTGTTTGATCTTTCCACTATCAAATTACCAAGTGTAACATTCATTTCTTTAAACCATTTTTTCACAGGGTCTTTACTCAAAACATTCAATCACTTCCACTAATAATTCACAGGTTTGTTTCACCAAGACAGTATCCATTTTTAACTCTTAGGTTTTAGCTCTAAATGTATAATTAGGCTTGTTGCAGTTACATTTCAAGATTCTGATTTAGTTGTCATATTTTATCTATACAAAGTAGGTAAAAAGTTGGCAGAAATCATTCGACAGAGATTAAAATAAAAATACAATACTTCAGTTTAAGATTGACTGTGACTAATTTCTGAACATAAACTCACCTCTGCTACAATTCTTTCATGGTTGCCCATGGCCGCTTTGTTGGCTTACAGCCACTACTTTGCTCAACCATGGAACATGGAGAATTGACAGATAGAATTTATAACAATAATAAAAGAGAAATAGATATAATGATGACAGAGAAAAAGTGAATAATAACAATGATATCAATAACAGGAGTATAGATGATGCTGGCAATAATTGTTAATTACAGCACTCCTGTGATGTAATAATACTGCCTTTCCTCATTCCTGTAGCCTATGTTAATAATTTAACAGAGAAAAGTATTAGCTATTGAATTTCAGTGGAGAACATTTCTGACAGATTTGCAATTAGTCAAATTATGTAGACCCAAATATCATAATCATAATACATAAATTATTTGCTGAGTATATTTTGTATTAATCTGAATAGGAAAGGTAATGATTAAGAAAAGTTATTAACTGAATGTAGAGAAGCGGCAGAATGAAAATACTCAAGTAAATTACGCTAATTAAAATTCTACTGAAGCACGGTACATGATAAAATGCACAGACACACGGCCTGTTTTGTGGTTTATTTGGTGTGGAAATATTCAAATCAGTGCGTCACATGCTGGCTTCATGACTTTCACAACGTCATTTCTCGGAAATTTTCAGACAGAGATCTCGGTAAGTTTCTATTCAGTGATCGCCACGCCCCTCCGTTGCAGACTGACGCGTGAATGTACCAACAGCGCGTGCCCTTCTGTGTCCGGGTCGACCAATCAGTTATCAGCTCCGAGTCCACGAGGAAACACTGTAAGGGAACACTGACATTTCGGCTCTTTAACCGCTTTAACGTCAGTGTGTTAGAGCCAAAATGGCGTCCTGTGTGAGCTTGTGAAGAACGATTTGGGGGGGGGGGTAAGAAGATATCCAATGAAACAGAGAACTAAGTAAAAACATAACAGAAGGAAATGACATTTAGCCTGCTCGATGTTCGTTGTTTTGCTTTACTGACATCGACCAGCAGCTACAGCTAGCTAGTAACGCGAGACGCAACAGTTAGCTATGCGTCTGTCTTAGTTAAGTAGTCAGCTATTGAGACATTTCTAAGTGGACTGACAGCATAAAGCGAGGTGAGTAAATTTAATTGTGAATGTGAGTAAGTTTCAGTAAATGACTGACAGCTAGCTAACATACAAATAAAGTAAGCTTGGTCTCAACATTTAGTGCTGTTTGAAAAACAATAGCAGAACTGGCAGCCATTACATATCATACAGTAAGGAATAGTTTGCAGGCACAGATCACTGGTCATTAGCCTTTTTTGTTTGCACTTTTCTTCCTCAACTGCTGATTACGTGTGTGAATCGGTCACATCGACATTTAATTGTAATATCTATTAGTGCAGTAATATTATTGAAGGACACTCTTACTGTATTCACAATGTGGTTCACTGCTTTTGTGCATGTTTGTGTGTCCCTGATCAACTTTAGGATGGCCCAGTGGGACAGACTGAGGCAGCTGCCTGCTGTGTACGGACAGCAGTTACATGAGCTCTATGACAGAGATGCTTTACCTATGGATGTTCGGCATTACCTGTCTGTCTGGATAGAGAAGCAGGAGTGGTAAGGCAGCTCTGTCTCTTGCCCCTTATAGCATTCAACCCACATCTTTTGTTACTAGTCAAGAGTCATTCAAGGATTAAAGTAAATGACCCTGTGTGTAAAATATTTTGCTTGTATCAAATTTTTTATGCTTTAGGCGGCGAGCAGCAAGGGACCATGACTTGGCTGTAGTGCTGTTACAGGTCCTGCTGGAGAATCTGGATATCCAACACAGCCGCTTTGTCCAGGAAGAGTCATTCTTACTGCAGCATAACATTAGACGTTATAAGCAGAACTTTCAGGTTCGTCTGAGTTAGATTTATGATCTGGGTCTGGTTATCCTCTATATTGGTTCAATAACTATTTGAATGTCGATGAGCCAAGGAAAAGATTTTGAGATTCCTGTACCTCCCTGCGAGAATGGTCATGATATCCATGTGTTTCCATTTCCTGACAGAGGTACCTGGAAGAGCCGTGTGCTTTGGCAAGTACAATCCTCTGGTTTTTGGAAAAAGAGAAGGAAATCCTGCAGAGCGCTGATCTGGCAGAACAGGTTGGGGTTTTATTATTGTCATATATAACACTTGGGACACACCTTGCTACTCATAACACAATTATTGCTATAGCAAATAGCACAACACTTGGTACACCTGGGAACACCTTGACATGTGGTTGTTTTACATGCAAATATTTGATCAATTAATAATCACATAACACACGGAAGGTTGTTTTTGGCTATATGACTCAGTGGTCAGCCACCAATAGTGGATGTGCTGTGTGTCTGTAGTACTGTTATTTACTTTGACTCATAAGTTATAATATAGTAACAAACATATATATATACACATACATTGTGTGTGTGTGTGTGTGTGTGTATGTACATGTAGTACAAGGTAAAGGAAATGCTGGCACTCACACTGGAATAGGCAAAAAACAAATGTGTTGCAGCATGAAGCCGTCACCAGCAACTTCAAAAGTATTAAGAAAGTAAAAGTATTAAACCCCTTCACCTTTTTCACATTTTGTTATGTTGCAGCTTTATTCTAAAAAACTAAATTCATATGACATTTAAAATTTAGCTCAGGTGCCCACTTCTGTGTGGTAAACTCAATTGATTGGACATAATTTGGAAAGGCACATACCTGCAGAGCTCAGAGACAGGATTGTGTCAAGGCACAGATCTGAAGAGGGCTACAAAAAAACTTCTGCTGCATCGAAGCTTCTCAAGAGCACAATGACCTCCTTAATTCTGAAATGAAATAAGTGTGGAACAACCAACTTCCTAGAGCTGGTTGCTCAGCCAGACTGAGCAACTGGGGGAGAAGGGCCTTGGTAAGAGTGGTGACCAAGAGGGCTAAAAAGCGAAGATTTTCCGCCAGGCAGTGATATACTCAAACTCATTCTTTGTTCTACAGCAATATTGCTTAGTATCATGTCTGAAACACACTTAATGTCTTTACCTGCTCCTCCTACTCTTTTGCATTGACTCAGGTCCAGTTTTTGCAAGTAGAGCAGGAAGCCATGGAGACAAGCAGCCAGCAGGACCTGGAACGTAAAATGGCGGGCCTCAGGAATGAAGTGCAGGTGAAGATTAGGTTGTTTTATGTTATTATGTTGGGCTTTGATGGAACAACATAATAGTTAACCCATTATGTTTTTTTCTCTGTTCTTTTGTGATATAGTGCATGGAACATACAATGATATGTCTGGAGGAGCAGCAAGATGAGTTTGATTTTAAATACCAAACCCACAAGATGGAAGGTAAGCAGATTAAAAAGTTGTGGTTAAATTTGCATCCTCTGATAATGTTCTCTGAGGATTAGTAATAACGTGGCCTGAATCACAGCTTCAAGATCTCTTTTGTTTTGATCTGTCTTATATGGAAACTGTGATCCTGCTTGTGGAAACTGTTATACAGCTGTGGTAGATGAGGCCCTGAAGAAGAATCAAATCAAAAATCTTCAGTTACTTGTCAACAGACTGAATGATTGTAGAAAGGTATGGATTTGTTATTATTCTTAAATAACATCTCAAATAACAATTCATCTCTTCAGTCCATTTCATTTCCTAAATTGCTTTTTCTCTCATATAATTGCCGTGTTAGAGCACACTGTTGGACCTAAATAAGCTCCTGGACAGGACTGAAGACCTGATTGACATATTGGTGAAGAAAGAGCTTGTGGAGTGGCAGAGGAGGCAGCAGAAAGCCTGCATAGGTGCTCCAGATGATGTTTGCCTGGATCAGTTGGAGAAGTGGTGTGTTCATCCCTGCCTGCCTCACATTAGTTTTAATCTTTGGCATTTACTGCAATAGTTACATTAATAAATCGGAAAAAAACTGCATTCATTGTTTCAATTTGGCAAAAAATGTGAAAGTGACTTATAGCCAATATGCATTGTAAGACTTCCAGTTCCTACAGCACTATAGTCACCATCATGATCCTCGTTTGTTTTAACAATAATTTTTTCTGTGACCCGTGTTAACATCATCCTTTTTGCTCTTTTACTCTTGTTTTGCAGGTTCACCTGTGTGGCAGTGTGTCTGTTCCAGGTGCGGGAATTTCTTAGTAAGCTGGAGGAGCTTATAGGAAAAGTCTCCTACGACAATGACCCTGTGAAGTCCCAGAAACCTGCACTGCAGAAGAGAGCAGATAATCTTCTGAAAGACTTACTCAAGAGGTCGGCCTTTAAAGGCAGAGTTTGTGATGTTCTCATGCTCTTTTATGATATCCTTATGAATGTTACTGATGTTGTTTTTTTTATTTTTTTGTAGTTCCTTTGTGGTTGAGACTCAGCCATCTATGCCTCAGGGGAAAGGACCTTTGGTTCTCCGCACAAATGTCCAGTTCTCTGTCAAGACCCGGTCAGTGTGACACTCCAGGCAATCTTAATGTTTATCATGAGCATATGTTTGTAACATAATCTATGTACTGTATAGACTTTTGGGAAGGATTTTACCAGTGCATTACTTGTGATGTAGTAATCTGTATCAGTTTTCATAATTAAATACACACATTAAATTGCATGGTAGTTGTGCGTGCAGTGTTGTAGTGGAGTTAAACCCACCTAAACTCTATTTACTTGGGATGTAGTGTATTGTAGTTCACTACATAAACATTACAGCAGTTCTTAACTAATATTTATTATTATGCTGAATAAGGAAAAAAATATTAATTTAATGCTTTCTTGCAAAAGCCTTCTGTTATCCTCTGTAAGGGTGTCCCTGTTGCCATCTGCATTTTACAGGTTATTACCTCAATAAATTTAATATTAATATATTTACAGACTCCTTGTTAAGTTTCCTGAGCTGAACCACTCCATGAAAGTGAGTGTATCTATGGAGAGGTGAGATTCCTCCTTTAGTTTTACTTACTTTGACCACACACAAACAATACTGTGTTGTTTTATTGCCACCCTGTGGTCACTGCTTTGCTTTTCTCCTACTTGAATTTAGGGAGGCTCCTCAGATCAAAGGGTGAGTTTTTTTTTCCATCTTCAGCTTTCATGTCAAGCGGTATTTCCAGAAGACTTGCACTGAACTTTCATATTTCATGTGAATTTCTTCTTACTAAACCTGGTAATGGCGCAGATATCGGCGTTTTAATGTACTGGGGACCAAAACTAAGGCATTGAACATGGCAGAGAGCCAAAGCGGAGGCATGGTGGCTGACTTCAGACATCTGGTGAGTGAACAAAAAAACATTATAATAACAATTACTGTATATATGAATTGATTAAAAGACCTTCATATAACAATAGTCATCCTTTAATCTCAGGTTATGTTTGACAAATCCTGTATTTTTTCTGTAGACTCTGAAAGAGCAGAAGTCTGGAGGTAGCAGCAAAGGAGCCAGTGATGTGAGTTGTCTTTAGCAACCCTGAAGACACCATCTTTGCTTACAGTTTTAAGTTGCAAACAACCGAATAATGAGCTGTGTGTGTGTGTGTGTGTGTGTGTGTGTGTGTGTGTGTGTGTGTGTGTGTGTGTGTGTGTAGATTCCTCTCAGTGTTACAGAGGAGCTACATGTCATCTTCTTCGACACTTTATTTGAGCTGAAAGGCTTGTCAGTTGAGTTGCAGGTAGAGTTTCTTCTTCTTCTTATTATTATTATGTGGCTTGTTTTATAAAAAATCATTAACCTACATAAGTAGAAGTAGAAACATCATATCCCTGTGTTGTATTTACTGTTTTTCCCTGGCACCCAACCTAGGCCTCTTCCCTCCCAGTTGTCATCATCTCCAACTCCAGCCAGCAGCAGAGTGCCTGGGCGTCTGTCCTCTGGTTCAACATGCTCAGTCAGGACACCAAGGTGAGAAATCATCTTCACTAACACACACACACACACACACTGAGCAGTATTTTAAATTTTACATTCAAATTTACTTTAATACTGTGAGAAGGCATCAAAAATGAATTTTCTATATATTTCTGAATGTGCATCTGCTTCTCCAGGACGTCATGTTCTTTGCCAACTCTCCTGCAGCCACTTGGCCTCAGTTTGGAGAGATGTTGAGCTGGCAGTTTCTCTCTGCCACTAAACGTGGTCTGAATGATGATCAGCTTGAAATGATTGCACACAGACTCTTTGGTAAGTCCTGCTTTATTTGCTTGTCTTGCTTATTTTTCTGGTTGTTTTGTCTATAAATTGGATTGGAGTCATTCTGTGAGTCAAACATGATATCAGGAAACACCATGGTCTGGATTTGACACAAGTTGCTAAACTTAATCTTGCATTTTAAGACTTATTGACTTTACATTTAAAGAAAAAATTATATCTCAAGCCTCAGTAGCACTTCTAATATCTAGAAATTAGAACCGTCACCGACAAGATAAATTTTTTGGTTACCGACATGTAACAAAAAAGTTCCTGCATCACTTGATTAGTGGTTACTGTCTTACTTATCCAGTTTCTCATATGAATAGAGCTGATCAAAAATATCTTGCCCTAACCATTGGGACAAGTGGTAAATTTGTTCTGTCTTACAATCAAACAAAGGATGCCCAAAAATGTTCCATTTCTGTATTCAGTTTATCTTGTATCATTCAGAGTCAACTTTTGATGTGAGGGAAGACACATTAGTGTCAAGCCAACACCTTAAAAGTGTGTGTGTGTATATGTGTATGTGTGTGTGTGTGTGTGTGCGTGTGCATGCCCACAGACCTGTGCACAATTCACGATGATTTGTCAAATTATGCTACGGATTGCAGAACATAAGTCAGCATCCTTCATGGGTTGTAAGCATGTTTTATTGTAGATTTTCTCTGAGTGAAGTTTATTATTATTATTTTATTTATTTATTTATTTTTATCCCACCAGGAAAGCACCTGAACTATGACACCTGCAAAGTGGCTTGGTCAAAATTTTGCAAGGTAAGAATACTGAATCCTATTATTCAGCATGGCTCGAGAGATTAACGTTAACCCTTATCGCTTGACTCAAAAAGTCCCCAGACTTTTCACGCTAACTTCACCTTAGGGTTGATGTTAGTCTCTCTGGAAATCTTCAAAAACATAAAGATTCAGGCGTGGCTCTGTGGTTTTTATACTATATATTACTTGCAAATGGGCTCAGCACTTGCAGAGATCAAAACTCCCCACAAAGTGAGAGCCTCAAAATGAGAATAATTCAGTTAGGCAGGAAGTTGTAAATTCTCAGGATTGAAAACAAGATATGTGGGGCAAGAATGTAGATAAAGAACTACTCCTTTACTACAGTCAAGGGCAGTTCAGCTCTAACTGGAACAGTTAATCAACTATAAAGAGGTTAAAATGAGGTTACATGAGAGGACACTTATGATGGATTAAATTTTCCCATTACAATAAGAAGACAAGTTACAAATACAATCACAATAAAAAAATTTCACTGCAGTTGACAGGCTCATTTTGGATGGATTGCCATTATGTTTACATTCCTGCGACCTCTCAAAATGAATTGCTGTTTGGTAATTTGGTTAATATTTTCCTCTACTGGGAAGATCAAGTCAAATCCATTCGTTGAAAATCTTGGTTTATGATGAGAATCTGCAGTTTTAGTGATATTCCCATCATGCACTTTGTGTTGGCACGAATATTCAACTACTCAATTTGGCAGTTACCTACCAAACATCAGTATGTTAACATAGTCATTGTGACCATGTTAGCTGACAGACACTTCCACATTAACCATGACATGAAAAAAACAAACTGTGTACCTCAGCTTTTATCCATTATCCAATTTGGTTTTCTGTGCAATGAGCATTAGACACAGAGCTTCACAGAACTACTAGCATGGCTGTAGATTATTAGTCTTGTTTGTGTATTGTTTATGAACACACTCTGTAGGTGTGTATTGATTACCTTCTCTACCTCTTTGGAAACAGGAGAATACTCCTGACACCTTCTGGGTGTGGTTTGATGGCATCTTGGTGATGGTGAAAACATACCTTGAGGACCTGTGGAGGGATGGGTATGTTTGCTGAAAACTGTTAACTCTGGATTTAATATATAATGCATGCATTTAATTCCAGGGACATGGAAGAAGCTTTTTGTTTGAATAAGATAATTTTTCTGTACTTTAGCCTCATCATGGGTTTCGTGAGCAAAGGCAAAGAGAAGTCTCTCTTGAAGAAAAAGCAGAGAGGCACGTTCTTGTTGCGCTTCAGTGAAAGTGTCATCGGAGGAATCACTTTCTCCTGGGTGGACACCACTGCAACTGGTGAGATGTTTTCAATTCATAATTATTATAAGTAGTCAGAAATACAAAGAAGCCTCCTTTGAAGATTAGTCAAACTCATATTTCTTTCTGTACACGATCATCTTCTGCCTCTTTTAGGTGAGCCTGACGTAAAGACAGTCCAGCCCTTCACCAAAGTTGACCTTACCCAGATCCCCTTCCATGAAATCATCAGGAATTTTCAGATCTTAGAAGCTGAAAACATCCCAGAAAATCCTCTACTCTATCTATATCCCAACACCCCTAAAGACGAGGCTTTTGGAAAATACTACTCTGACAAGAGTGGAGGTAAGGGCACCAAATGTTTTTGTAGATACTTTTTGCTTGTCACTTATGTAGTTTTGTAAAAATGAATCTGTCAAAAAGCACAATTTACATATCATTTGTTGTGTTGGTTAATCTAAATTGAATGGTGTTTTGCCTTGCAGTAGTCATGGATAAAAATGCTCTACATTCATAGTGCTGGGGATGAATATTACAGATTAAATCACATCTAAACTCATTCTCTTTCAGTTGACAGTCCGTACATCAAGTACATCAAAACCAAGCTGGTGTTTGTCTCAAAAGAGTAAGTATATTATTCAGTTTCTCCAGGCTGATTTACAGCATTATGTTTGAATCAAAACAAAATGTGGTATTTACACAGAAACAACAAACTGAAAATGCACTCACTTCATCTAAGACGTCGTGTACCCATGGCTTTATTATGTCATGAGCAACTGGTTGTAATGACTGTTTGTGATTGGTCATGTAGGAACACACTGGAGGCTAAGTCACCCATGTCCTCAGACATGGTACAGGGTGAAGGCCTGGAGTCATTGAATGACCTGTGTGGAGAGGCAGCTGGTGAGTCATGGCTCTCCTTGCTGTCCCATCCAGCTAAAAACCCCTTTCAAACAAATCGCTCTCCCTTCATCTCAGAGCTCTGTGGGGAACATGCTGTCTGGATAGTGAAAGTCATGCGACAGCTACCAAATTGTTGAACTTCTACCTTATATCTCATGGGGCTGTTGGTTGCTTCTGCTGCATGCACATGTACTGTTGTCTGCTCTACTGAACAAATCTAACAAGTGTAGAGGTGAATGGGTTGAGCAAAACTCTTCTAACGCCTTTGATTATTTTTATAGCTTTGTGATTTAACCTTCTGATGCTTAAAATATTTGACTTTAATTACAAGACAGTGTAAAATGAAAAACAGATTTTGGCCATAAGTAAAGCAAAACCACTAGTAATGATCAATCATAGAAATCAAAGACAATTTATTATTATTATTAATATTATTATTATTATTATTATTATTGTTCATATTATTAAGGTGGTAATAATAGCATTTCATGTTATAGTAATTACACTTCAATCCACTGGAAATATATTTTTCATGGCTTGGAAGGACACAGAGGAAACATTTTGGGAAATCTTTTTTTTTTTTTAATTCATAGGAAAACTGAAGAATAAAATGACAATTCACTGTTCTACAGGGGATTATGTGCTGAATTATTTCTTGGCCACGACCAGTTATTACCTGAAGTGTTCTGGTCTCCAACTGCATAGAACCAAGAAATTGTCATTAACATGTTAATTAGCGAGCATTAGAGGTACTGGTTGATGGATTTTGTTACAATTTGATGGAGCCAGGCTAATTGTTTCCTTGTTTCTAGTCTTTATGCTAATTCAAGCTAACCAGCCTCTCACTGTAGCCTTACATTTAATGGCCAGATATGAGAGTGTTATTGATCTTATCATTTAATTCTCTGCCAGAAACTGATTGAGTGGATATGTATTTCCCCAAATGTTGAACTGTTCATTTGGAAAAAAAAAAAGGTGTGAACGCTGTGCTTCAGCTTGTATTACAGTAACTACTTTTCAATTAGTTATTATATGAGTTAAACACTGAAAAGAAAATACAAACATTTAACATAAACCACGTGTACTAACACTGCATGCAATTCATGACTTTATTGCATAAGCTCAAATCATACTGCTCTCTACACTCTCACAGAGAGTCTGTACTTTCCTTTTTGTTTGTTTTTTGGCTGCTGAGCCCAAGACTTTTTTGTTTCCCCAGTGGAACCAGTACCAGAGATAAACAACACAGCCATGACAGCAGACTCAGTATTTCTTATTATATATTTATCTCCTGTCCTTTTCTCTGCTCTCAGAACAAGATGAGAATTGTCATTCTCTGGATTCACCTCTGGAAACCTGCCATCCTGATGTCATGCTGTCTGACTTGGCCGAAACACCACAGGATGAGTTACTGATGTATGTCAACAATTTCAACCACTTTGCTGGTACCGGCATCTTTGATGATGATACAGGGCTATTTAACTGCCTGACCTCACAATCCTGTGGAAGCATTTTACAGTAAGCATCTGCAATGTGTATTTAACCAAACCACTATATCACTCATTGTCAGCTTTACTCTCAGCTACTTAAATCAACATCCATGTCAGAAAAACTGAAGTCTACATAGCACCTGCTAACAAAATAATTTGCTTTGAGTACTTTCTTTCATTTGAAATACTTGACAGCCCTTCTGATCCTGATAGTCTGTATTTAGAAATAGCTTTTCAGGCAAAATTCAGTGTTTGTTTGCACCTTTTAAAGCATTAGAATATAACTTTTCTAATTTATTTTTTATCATGTTAATTATTTGTAAATTCTGATTTGATTTTGTGAGACAATTTGAAGACATAAAAGAGAGATAACTGAATGAGCTGCATAGCAACTCCATTAGTGTCCCAGGCTCAAATTTCATGCATCATAAACTGCTGTGTTTGCAGAGGTGTTGTAGAGAACATTGCACAAACTGCACATAATTTATTGTCTTGTTGTTTGAGTCCCTTTTGTCACCCACAGCATGTGATTATAATGTACTAAAACATGCAATTTTGTTCTTTGTAGGTATGTGCTTTTATATCTGTTGACAAATATTATTACCAATAAAAGGGAAATGGCCAACTGCATGTTCTGTTAAAATTAATAACTCAATATTGAACAAATATGGGAAGCTGCTTTCATGAGTCTATGTTAACAGTATTCTGTGGCCTTGTGGAGGTATTAGATTGTCCAATACGTTAGTTTTGACTTTACATACTTACCTTATGGTAAAAAAAAAGTTTTTACTCATCAACCACAACAGGCAATAAACTGTACATTATTGTCCAGCATCCACAAAGGGTGGGGGGAAGAAAGTTTTTTTTCCTCAAGGTCAGTGAATACTTTACTTATTTTCGCCAGGTGACCAAAAACATGACTCCAAATGTTGCTGTGCTCTGAGAGTGGGCTGTGTAAGGTTAAGAAGGCAGTTTTTTTTTGTTGTTGTTTGTTTACCAACGTGTCCACTATATTTTTTGTAAAGATATAATTGAGTAATGGCATCCTGAGCAGAGCATGAAGTCACACACTCTTAAAGTTGTACTCTGAGCTTCTCTGTTCTTTGTTTTGGTAGGCAGTCTGGCAGTGCATGCATGTCAGTGCATGTCAGTGCATGTCAGTGCATGTCAGTACATGTCAGTGCATGTCAGTGCATGTGAATCCCTCCTCTGAAACCATTGGCCCTCCTCACATTTATAAAGATACAGTGACCACCCAGACACAAGATGGCACTGTGCCTGTAGTTAGCAGTGTTCAAGTGAAAGGAGAGGGGGGAAACTAAGTGGACATAAGTTATGTAAGGGGCACAACTTCAAAATAGTCCAAATCCAACAGAACCACACAAGATGTCAAAATGAGATGTCTGCAAGATGGCAGTTCATGTGAAGACAGCTGGACACAAGGACAAAAATTACTGCACATAAAGAGAAAAAACAAGGAGTCTCTCTGCAGACTGCAAGAGAGGAGTGTAACTCCAAGTGGGTGTAACTTTACTTTGACAAAATCACACAGAACCACACAGGAGTAAAGTGGGCGTAACTAAGTATTACAGGCTACAAACATTTTCTTTTGGGTGAAAGACACAGAATTACATCCACTGAAGAAAACAAGTGTTTGTCTAGAAAAGTCTCAGGCAAAGAAAGATGTAAACCAGGGACATTGTGGCTTATATTTGACATCTTAAACCCCCTCAGCTTCCTGGGAACTCTGAGATGTCTTAAACTAGCCATGAAGCAGGGGCTAAACTTTTAAATTCAATAACAACATGGCCTTTCTTCTGTTGCCACCTTCAGGTCAGACATTTTTTGCCGCATTAATGGCAGGGCCTGTAAAGCTTTCTACTCATTCAGAGGTACAGGATGAACTGTGCTCACAGCCTGGCAAGGGACAGAGCACAGTCAAGTGGAATAGGTCTTTGTCAACAACATGTGCCATCTTCCTATTCACAAATCTGGTTGATTTTAAGGTAGTGTTGTGCTGCATTTTGTTTTTTTGTTTTACTTTCAAGTTATTAACAGTTGTCATTGTGTTGGTTGCACATAAAAAGGTCACCAGCAAGGTCAAAAGTTGAAAGTGACTGAGAATTAAGTGCAGAGACTGGGTGGTTTAGCGGCACACACCACCCAAGACAATGCTGCTGTGAAGTTCTGTGTCTATGACAGTGGCTGATGCAGATGGCTTAAGAGTTGTGCTGCTTCCATTTTTCATCCAACAACATCTTTGTTTTCTAAGGTGTAATAAGGGTCATGACCTCAAAGAGCCATGTGTGTGGCACTTGACTTTTAGTCTTGTTGTAAGTTAAACCAAAACCCAACTTGTAGCAGTTAGTATAGTGTGGACATAGGAATACTCTTTGCCTCTGCATCATCAGTAAGGTCAGGTCTGAACAGGGCCTAAATAATATGACACAAGTCAAACAGAATCATGCATGCACACTTCACCCACATGCCAAAATAAAGGCCAACTTTTCTCATTTGTCATGAACTATCACCATATGAGGCAATACAAATTTGAGACAGTGGTAAGGTTCATAAGTTCCTGAGTTGCTGAAATAGCATATTGTGTTAGACAGGACTAAACTGTTCTGATTTTGTAACGCTGGTGGTTTTTCATGTTCGTGACATACACTTAAAATACTAAAAGTGGTTATGACATAAAGGCTAGTTGTTGCTCAAAATTCTGAATGACACTGGAATACGTATTATAAAGTATAATTTATGACATACATAACATAAACATGTAACATAATGTTGAAGATACATAATACTTACTGTAAGAGCAAACAAGGACAGAGTAAAACATGTCTGAAATGTTGGTAATGTAGCTTAAAAAAATGTAACACTATATGAGAGCCCAGACCCCGTTTAACTCCTTTCCTTCTTTCTCTCTTTCTCTCTTTAATGAGCTATTTTATTCATTTTGACATTTGTTGAGTTTATTTTTCTATTATGACAAAGACTCTGGTGTGATTTCAGCTTTATTTACTTGTAAAATGATCACTCAGAGAGAAAGTTGGAAGCAACACTGAATATTTTTCTTAGTTTGTCTCTCACAAAGTGCATAGCCTCCATCTGAAAAACAGGCTCCTGCTCCACCTCTCCGTGCCAATTCATTATTAAAGAGCAACGGCCAATAGAGAAACTCCAACTCAGTTGTGTGGCATTTGGCTGACCAGTGGTGGAACTATGATCATTCGATCAGTCAGTCACAGACATTTGCAATTATGGGCCAATAAATCACACAGAAAAACAACTTAAAAGTTCATAGTGGCTAAATTTAAGTTGTGTTGTATTTCATTAGAATAATATCATACTGGGTATATCCAGACATAGTTTGAAAAAAGAAATCAGGATCTCAGAGCCTGCCAGAGGCAGGTGAAGGGTGCAGCAGCCCTGGTGAGCAGCACATGGTAGGCCTGTCGAAACTGTCGGTTCATGACAGCATACAGCACAGGGTTGATACAGCTGTTGAGCCAGGTGAGGTTGGCACAGAACATGTGCAGTACCTGTGGGGCGCGGTTATGTTTGTCAGCTATGTTGAGCAACAAGAAGGGGACAAAGCAGAACACGAAACACAGAAAAACGGTGAAGCACATGCGAGTCACACGCTTAAATTCACCATCATCTCCTGAAGTTGCCGAGTTGGATGAAGATGCTGCAGTGGTGGTTGCGGGGATGATATCAGGGTGAGGCTTGTTGGCTGCTGATGAATTTAAGGCTTTGGCAGAGCTCTGCTTGAATTGGGAGGACTCCTCCGTATTTTGGGTTAGATCTGCCTGGCTGCTCATCTCACAGCTACATGTGTTGGCCATGCCACTCTCTACACCACTGTCATCTGTCCCTTGTACTGAAGAAGCTGGTTTCTTCCTGGATGACCGGCGACTGAGCCTGTAGCGAAGCAGAGCCTGTGAGGCGATCTGGACTCGTCTGTAAATGAGCATGTAGAATGCGCCAACACAGCCCAGACCAACAAAAAAGTAAAAAAAGAGCAGGATGGTGGTGTAGGGGCGACCTCTGGTACGATGGAAGCTGCATGTGCACACCTGTGGCACAAACACGTAAACAGGCCAGAGTGGGCCAAAGCTGGCCAGGCCTAGCACCCACGCTGAGATCAGGAGTAAAATTAGACCACGGTCAGAGAAGACACGATCAAACACAGCCCGTTTTGCCACCAAGAGATATCTGCTCACTGCCACCAGGCAGAGGGTTATAATGGAGACAGAGTTGGAGAGGAAGAGGAGCAGGCCAAAGATGCTGCACCAGAGCTGACCACTGCGCCATCTGAGGTGTAGATAGGAGTCAACTGAGATGGGCTGCAGTATGGTGCAGTACAGGAGATCAGCCACAGCCAGGTTGATGATTAACACATTGAAGCGAGTCCTCAGACGTGCGTCTAAGGCGAAGGCCAGAATGGTCATCAGGTTCCCCACCGTACCTGTGATGGTCACAGCACATCCCCACAGCACAGCAAAGTACCGGTAACCTACGACAGAAGGACTGTAGCAGGAGAAGAGGTCTTCCTCCGTTTGGTTGGTGTGGTTCATCAGCATTCTGTCAACTGACGGGAATCGGAATTAAAATCAGGTAATGGAAAAACTAAATTAAAACCGAAACCCAATTTACCAAACCCTTCCTTGTGAAGGAGAAGTTATAGATGACCACTTCCTTTTCAACATCCTGCTGACTGAACACTCTCTCTTGCTATTTTAGTACCACGAAACACATTGTCATTAAACATGAATCATTTGAATGAATAAATAAATGAACAAAATGAAAACAAAAAAAAAGTAAAAAATAAAAATTGATTTTGTGTACAGCACAATCTCAAAAGAATTGCTTTGTCTTCAAAAATGTGGTGGGTTCTGTGTTTAGTTTATGACTCAGTTATTGTCTCTTCTTAATTCTAGCTTTACTATATGCAGTGTATAGCTAGAGTTAAGAAGAGATAAACATATGATAAAAAAAAAAACCTCCAAGGAATTTAAGATAATTATATCTTTTTTTTTATTTATCATTTGTTTGTGTTATATAAAGGCAAATAAAAGCCCCTGTTTTAAAACAAATTGCTCATGATTTTCTCACCTTTAAGCTGAAGATTTCTGTCTTTCTAATTGTTGAGGTGTAGCTGTATCGTTCTCGGCAGTGGTCTGAATGTCTATCTTCTTCCTGGTGTTACTTGTTATATACATCCTCTGTGTTGCTTCAGTCCCCTCTACACAATCAGATGCTACAACGCAGGGTTTTTCCAATTTCATGTCAAAACTCAGGAAGAAGGATCTTGCTTATTTCCTGTATTTCCATTTAAGTACAGTAAAAATGTTCATGTAATGCAAATTACCTGTTTCTGTGGTCATACATAAACATTTAAACCACTTCCCCTTTGACAAATCACTATAGTGACAATATGTTCTTTCATAATTTTTTTTACACTTACTAGTCAGTGAGGGTTAACACTTGATAGCTGCATTTTGCTCTAGTGGCAATAACTCCTCAATGCATATGCAATGGCAATATGATGGAAATAATCAGAATAAAAACATTAAAGACACAGTCCAATTTTGACCCCTGCTGCTGCACACAGACTTCCTGTTTCTCTCACACATTGGTAAATTACGTAGATGCCAAGTGCCAAGTGTCAAAATGCAGAACAAGAACTGAAATTGTCAGTGATGTATTCCCTTTAGGCCACAAGGACAGAGCTATAGTGTTGCCGAAATGCACCTACTATAGTTGACATAGAGGACATGTTTGACAACATTGATGCTTTATTGTATATGTGAAGTGAACCACTGGGTAGATGAAGATTTAAATCACAAGAGAAGTAGTGTATTGAGTCAGATACAGCATCATATGTCTTTTTTGTCAGTTGAGAAAATGTTAAACACATGCCTGTCACATGATGTATTTCCTTGGGATGTCCTGAAGTTGCTGAGTGGGATGAAGATGCTGCAAGGGTGGGTGCAGGTGTGGATGAAGGTGGTGCAGGGACGATGTCAGGGGGAGGCTTGTTGGCTGATGATGAATTTAAGGCTGTTGCAGAGCTCTGGGTGGATTGGTAGGGCTTTTTGTGCCTGATCTCATCCTTATTTTGGGCAGCCAGGTTGATAATTAACACATTGAAGCGAGTCCTCAGACGTGCGTCTAAGGCGAAGGCCAGAATGGTCATCAGGTTCCCCACCGTACCCCACAGCACAGCAAACCGCTGGCTTGTCATTGTAATATGACGGCCGCTGTGCTTCTGGTCAGTGCAGAAGAGAGAGCAGCTCTCTTTCTTGTGAACATGCACTGCTATTTGACACTGCTGTCTGAGCTGAAGATAGCTATGTTGAAACTAGACCACACTGAGTTCCACTAATTGTTCGCCTCTTCACCAACAATGAACAAACATAGCAATGAAGAAAAATGGTCTTGGAGCAACATCAGCTTCATCACCATCATCAACTGGTCCAGATTTCCAATAAAGATATCAAATATCTACGGTGAAAGACCACCGCCTGGGTACTCCCATTATCTTGTACTGCTGCTCACAAATTAGATTACGTCTTATCAAATCTCTCAAATGGTATGATACTATTAAGGCAAGGTCCGCTGATACAAATGATTATTTTCGTTATCATGTGTAGGCAAACAAGTGATCAAAAAACGATGTGGAGCGTTCAATTTCTCACCTTAAAGTTGATAGCTTCAACTTTAAGGTGCCCTGTGTGAGTGTATAGCTTCCTTATAGTATGATGCGCTCCCTCTCTCCCTCTCTCTCTCTCTCCCTGTTTTTTTTTAGTTTTCTACAACTTCTGTTTTGATCAGTGATAGGTTTCCTGTCTTTGTGTCTGCATCTGGGTCTGTCCCCTACTTTGTGTCAGTAGCGATTGTCATTCTCTGCAGTGACCTCGTCCTCTGATCATTTTGCTCACTGCACTAAACTGTAGAAAATCAATTAACTTCTGATCACAAATAGAAATCCCAAATGTGTATATATATTTTAGTACACCTGTTATCACCTATTACTATAGGACTGTACTGTATGTCAAAACAGACAGTGACTAGAGATTTGATTTTTTGACATTACTCACTTGCATTACAAAATGCATTTGTGATTTATTGCTATTTTCATAATATATATGAAAAAAGGTAAATAATCCACCAGTCAACATTGTTTACAACCATAAACTCAGTTTAATGATTCCATAGAGAATTTTGTTTTTATTGAACAATTAGGAAGCCCCAACATGTACCTTTTCTCATTTTTAATAATCTACATTTACAGTAATGTTTCAATACACATCTCCTAAATAACAATTAATACATTTGTAGACATTTCTTTTTATTGCAGTTAACGAGAAAAGTTAGCAGGAGTGCTTAAAGTATTGCTACAGTTTCCATTTCCTAAAGCTTCCCTCTAATGTGTCATGACAGTTCACTGGGATAATTCAGGGTCATGTAGGGTTGGAGTACACAAGGCAGAGCAGACAAACTAACATTTTTATCCCACTACAGACCTATAATACTACCAGAAATGGTGTTTTTTTTTTTTTTTGTTGTTGTTTTGTTTTTTGCATACAAGTATTCATCTGTGTATATGGTCCTTTTCTGTTCTTTCTGAAATGCTGGTGTCTTTCATTCCACTGTTTCCACACTCCTTGTATGAGATTATGGTGAAAATGTGGTCTGTGTAATCAAATGTACACAAAATGCAAAATAGCTGCTACTAAAGTCAAAATCAACCATTGTCCTACTGTGCTCACAGTGTTTTGCGCAGAAGCTGCAGATGGAAAAATTATAGGTCGTCATTTTACGTGTATTTACGTGTAGATTTCTCACCACAGACTTTTACTTATGTGCTTTGTGAGACTTTGACCCACATGGTTGTTGCCAGGGGCCGTTCAGGAAGAATCTGGGGAATCATCAGAGAAACAATTTAACTTGAGAAGTTGAGTTTTCTTTTTTGTTATGTTCTTATTCTTTCCAACCTTACTGCATTTTACACAGACCGTAAGTATAAACACTGATAGCTGCATAGTGCGCCAGGAGCAATTACTTTCTCACAACACCGCCAACTTGAAACCATGAATGTTGGTTGATGTACACATCAGCACAGTTTTAAGACATCATTTTTTTTGACCCTTTTGCTGTTCCTCTTTGACTTCCTGTTTCTATCCCACAGAGGTAAATATAGCCCCTATAGGACAGCTGTTAAACTGTGGACATACAGTATGGAGAAATGTTTGCCAGTAACTGCAAAAACCATACAGAATTTGTTGGTACCTTTTTCTCTTTATAGGCCACAAAAACAGAACTTTACAGTGGTACAATCCACTATACTGTGACAGCTACAGTATGATACCAGCTAACATCAGAGGCAACTACTATATCTAACCCAGCAGACATGTTTTTGATAACATTAATGCTTTGGATATGTAACGACTCCTTGCAGAGATGAACATTAAAAACGTAAGAGAGGTAGGGTTTTCAGTCAGGTACAGTGGATCATACGGTAGACAATTTAAATTATTATGATTAAATAAATGTAATTTATTTAATCAGTTGCAGATTGGAGGATGCTCAAAGAAGTCCATGCTTGAAAGAAACTGGTTCATAAGTTCCTTCTCAAACTATCTGCAGAGTCAGTCTGATGATTGGCAGATAGTTGAGCAATGAAGGAAAACTGGGGAAGATGGAAACATACAGTCTCTTTGAAATGTTTGAGATTTGTCAGTTTATCTTTCTCTGTTAACATAACAGCAGTGGTCTGCAACTACAGTATGCACCATGAAGAGTCGTATTCATGTTGGCTCCTTTTCTTATAATGAAACACCAGTTGGAGCCACAGCAGCTGATTTGGCTCTTGATGGCATATGGTTGCAGGCCTCCACTTCACAGTGTGCTTCTTCCTGATTCGTCCTCATTCTCTCGCCAATCAGTAAGGAGTGAAGAGGATTGGCCCGTGCGTGGTGCGGATGGGCCCTGGGGCAGGCCTCAGCAGGCTGAGGGGTGTTCCCTGTAGGAGGTGGTGATGAGGGTGAGGGTGGGAGGTCGGGCCTGGAGGGCGTAGTGCCAGCTGATTCGAGGATGCTGCGGCTGCCATCGCTGCAGCAACAGCCAGAGGATTTGGTAAAAGTCCAGCCCCCAGAGTTTTTGGAAGTTCCTTTGAGAAAGTCAAGGAAGATTATAAGAAAATGAGACACTGAACTTATGTTGATGCTTTTATGGGGGAGAACTGACAAACATGGAATATGTAGACAGTGAGAGAGACGAACCAAATCCTTACCATAAAGTCTGTGCGCTTCTTGTGCCGACTGAGAAGAGGATTGGGTTTCCCTGCAACTCCATCACGATGCCTCCGGCTAGATATATGCTGCAGCACAAAAAAAAAAAGAAAAAAAAGAAAAAGGATAGATAAAGGATATTGAGTTTGCTCTGAAAATAATTCTGTCACGGTCCTTGGGGCTGTCAGTGGGTTTCTCACCTGTTTGAGCTGCAGCTCAGAGTTGACTCTGACGTTGCAGATCTCACAGTGGAAGGTGCGTTCCTGAGTGTTGGGGTCAGAGGACAGCTCCCCTCCCTGCTCTGGGCTGGGTTTAGGACCCAAGCGTGGGTACGCCTTAATAGGTCCCAGTCCGCTCCGAGCTTCCAGAATGGTTTTGTGCTTGGTACCTGGAAAAAATAAAAAGAAAGGTCTATTCTATGGTGGCAATCTGGGCTATGTTACAGTGTAGCGCATATACTAAATACTAAAAATGAAATACTAAATTGACTTTGTGGTGAGATTATTCAGATTCAAACTACTGGTTGTTTAAAAGCTCTGAGAACAAATTGAAACTGTTGATGTTATAAAACATATCTGTCCTGAGACAAAAGTTAGTGTATGTGTTAGGCAGTGAGGTTTTTATCACTGACTATCTGCACTCAAACCATCCATTTTTTTTTCTCTATTTTTTTCTTTATTTGACAGCGACAGTGTAGACAGACACGAAACACAGAGCGAGAAAATGGGGGAGTGACATGCAGCAAATGGTCCGGCAGGGAGGCTGCTTACGCCCATGTGGTATGCACCGCAGCCACCCGGCCATTAGGTCGCCCAAAGCCACCCAGTTATTAACCTTCCATTATCACCACTAAGTGGCAGTAATGCACCTGCTTTAGTTTTTCAAGCTTAAAATACAAAAAGTGCAGAGTTCCCTCTAAAGAGCCACATTATAGGGTTTCTGAAGTTACTTCTAGTTATGCATAGGTTTAATTCTGTCAAGATTGTGCGTACTCTGTGGTGTGATGTGCTTATGGAAATGTGCTCTCTGACAAAGCTGTTTTGGAGTTACCTTTGTTATGTGCCTCCAGTTGTGAGAGGGAATTAACAGCTACTTTGCACAGGGAGCAGTAGAGAAGCTTCTTGGCTTTCTCTTCCTCTGACTCTCCTGAGGACGGGCTGGGTGCTGGGGACGGGGTGTCAGGAAGACCAGCCACTGCTGGATCTGCAGGGGGTGTACTTAGGGCTGCTGTGGGGGAGGATGGCAAAGGCGAGCTTACAGAAGTCAAGAGGGGACACTCTGCATCTGTTGAGCTCAGTGTGGGTGTTGGGAGGCGGCTGGGGGTCAAAGGTGACTCGTTAGAGTTGGGACAGGATTGGGTGACATCTGTAAAGAGCACAAAGTTTTAAGGTTAGTAAATGATTTGTCTAATGTAGTCCAGTGTACAATACCTTCTTTGACCTTGTTGATTATCATATGAAAGTGTGAAAACAATGACGTAGTGCTGTGCTTGAATCTCTGCCTCTCTGAGCTCGAACACATAGTTGTGCAAGTCCATCTGTACCTGCCCAGTGTGCTGCTAGACAAGGTTGATCACTCACTGCTGTACTTTTTACATGTTTTTTTTCTTGCTTCAGATCAACTCAGTATTGAATTCTAACGATAAGAAAAAAAAAAGTTATTCCAATGGAAGTCTTTTATCGATACACGCTGAATCACAAGTTTTGATTAATCACATTAGCAGTAACTTAGTGTAGATATTCTTAAATAATCACCAGGGCACCGACACTCCTCTCTGGTTATCTGGTTTCTATCGCTCCAAGCAGCAGCTGTGTGGAGCATCTGTGCCATTTTGTGGTAGATTCATGTGTGTTAGTGTGTGTGTGTAATATCATATGTCTCAGGTGATGCTCACCCTGCTTATTAGGATCAGGCTCAGGGCTGGATGGCGAGGGGCCTGGTGGGGAGGGCGAAGCAGTAGGGGGAGGGTGCTGCTTGTCGCCATCTTGGAGGCGAGCTGTCTTAGATGTCTCGATCCCCTTCACCCTTCGAGCGTGGCGGTTGCCCTTGTAGTGGGCCTCTGCCTGGCTCTGGCAGAAGAATAAGATACATCAGAGATCTACATGAAATTCATTTACATTGAATCATATATGTGCAGGAGTATGTTATTGTCACTTTCAAGAGCACATTTCATTTTGTTCACCATGTTGGTTATTTTTTTTGATTCCCTTTTTGTGAGGAAACGGTGGCCGTGCAGTTTCCTCATGTGAACTTGTGTTTTCTTTAGCAGGAACTGAACATCTTAGTGACCTACTAACATCGCCAGGTTTCTAACCGAGTTGACTTCTTGGCATTAATAAATGTTAAACTAAACAAACCCCCTATATTTTTCCCCCAAAGATTAATCCAAGAATTACTCATAAATTCTGACATATATTTTGGCACCCTTCATTTTCAGTGCATTACAGTAAACGGCTGCTGGTTTGCGGCTCCCATGTGCTGATGAGGCTGTCAGGGAAGAGTAGCCTCCAGAACATTCTCGCCTTCCTTCACTACTGGTGTAATCACTGAACTGCCCTGCTGAGCTGATGATGATTATTGAGTGGTGGGATTATCTAAAATGGGCTGGAGGGTTGGTGGCGGCCAGTGACAGTTGACTGGCAGCTACTGAGAGAAAAAAAATGCAGCAAATCAAGAACAGATTGTATCCATGAGTGTGTGTTTTCCTGCTTGTCCTTGTATGATAGCACTTAAGAGGATCAGGAAATGGGAAATATGAAGAGGTGTGGATATTTCTGTAAGTCCTTAGTGTGGGTGTAGAGTTTGGGTTGCGGTTTATCAGAGTTAAGCTTAAATTAACGGGAGACAAATTCTATATTAGGATTAAACATGCATTTGTGAGAGTTTTTTTTTTTTTTTTAAGTAATGATGACACTAGAAGTGCAACTCCATTGCCCAATAAAGCATGTTTTGTACATCTGAAGCCATTCATGCATGGTAACTATGTTATGATTAAGGTTAGAGAAAGATTTTGGTTATGATTAAAAAGGTGTGTGCCAGGTGCCAACTCTCTCTCTCTCTACACGCTTCACACTACGCGCTACACGCCAATCCAACCTCCATGCCCTTACTTTCCACCTGCCTGCACAAAAGGCTCACTACTTCCTGCTGCGGCACTGAACATTGGCATCAAACCGTCCATGTATGAAAATCCTTCCTCGAGATACTGGGCTGGGAAATCAGGGTTACCCCCCGAGTCATGTGCATGTCAGCATCAGGTGAAATCAAGGGAAGGTGTGAGGTGTCAGGGCACAAATATAGTTCCTGTGGGCTCTTCACTAATACAGTAATACAAGACTGTGTGTGTGACTGTATTTGCATGTGTATGCACAAGCAGAGACCTGCTTGGATTAGAGAGGTTTCATTATGTCAACAACAAGGCCGTGGGGCCCTTCACTGAGGCAAAGGGACCACTGGGACGTGTCCGGGATGCCTCTGTAAGCCTCAGGTATTAACTGCCAATGATAGTTACCCATATAGCCCTCATCCTGATTGGTGATGACAGAAAGGCAGATATAGCTCAGCCTGTGTAACCCAACTCCTCTGGCTGCTGTTTCCCAAAGCCCTGCAATTAGACAAGGAGATGAAGCCCTACAAGTCGATGAACAAATGACAGCAGAGCTCAGAAGTGAGAAATACTCAATGCTTCTTCTTCTCCTTGCAGTCCACACTTTGTGCAGCTGTCCTTCTACTTTTCCTCTCCCTTTCTGCAGCTCTTTTTTTTTTTTTTTCACTTGAGCTTTGATACTTTCACTCCGTGTGACCTTCAGTGTCAGGTCTTAAGAAATCGATGAAGGGTCGCCATCAATTCAAGCATAAAAAGCTTGACAGCCTCAGAGGTGGGGGTGGGATGCCGCAGAGACAATAGGATGTAAACAAGATCAAGGCATCTGATGATTGCCGTTAACAGGAAAGGTGAATAACAATAAAATATAAATGATGTTCAGCATAGTAGGTGAAATGAACTGAGAGAAGCTACGAAAGAGCTGTGGAAAGGGGGATTAAGATGAATGAGGAAGCAGAGATGGGATGTAATGGGGAGAAAATGAGAGCAAGTGAATGTCCCTGAAATCCCTTTTCTCTCTAAGCAGGATGTGCTTTGATGTTTTATCTATAAAGTGACAAAGGCACAGAAAGCAGAGAGAGCTGGTCTAGCAGCCAAATCTACTGTATGGGGTACAGGCAGCAGCGACAGGAAGAGGGGGTGGGAAGAAGCTGGAGAGGTGGAGAGAAGGCGAGGGGACAGATGATACACCATACCCCACAGAGGGGGAAACAGAAACATGAAAACTGATGAGGAAAATGGTGAGCAAACTAAGCTGCCGAGTAGACAGGCGATAAGAATGAAACATGATTTGGTGTGGGCCTGAGAGGTACAAGAAGAGGGGGATTGAACAGAGAGAGAGAGTGAGAGAGAGAGAGAGAGAGAGAGAGAGAGAGGGAGAGAGAGAGAGGTCTCCAGTATGGTACTGCAGTGGTGACGGTGGCTAATGCAGCATGGTGTGACGTCAGCCTTGCAGCAGAGCTGAGCCGAACACTGGCAGGCTAATCTGTCCTCTGTGGCCTGAAATGAATTGCAATGTTGTAATTACAACATATGTGGGTCTACAGTGTAGTATCAGTGAGAGGCACCTGCTTCTTGATGGCCTCTATTAATCAATCTGCCTCTTTTGTTTAAGTACTTGAGTATTCCCATTTAACACTGGCCTCCTGCAGACATAAACATAAGGTAAAACGTTGGTGTTTTTAATATTCTTTGGTGGCTCATGACCTGAAGGATACTTGATGAAAAATGATGAGTGTTTGTCTGTCTTTGAACTATAGCACAGCCCAGACGGCGCGAGTAAGCCAAGTACTGTACTGTAAGCAGAGTATTCCTTCATTATTAAAGAATGTTCACTGAGCTTTGAGCTCCCAGTCTCTCAGGTTACTGTGGAAAGTGCTGTGGAGCTGCAGGAGAGCAGATGCACACCACGGCTCACGAGTAAAACAGCAAGCTGGACAAACAGGTGGCTCAGTATTAGACATCTCACCGCATAACACAGACGTGACACGAGCCAGAGACACTCGCCCAAAACATTTTCATACATGTACATTTCAGTGAACTCACAACCTCTATGTAAATACGAACCCGCTGAAGTAAATAAAAAGCACTCAGCACGCATGTACCCCATGCTCATGTAGACCATGTGAGAACATGCAGGTCTGAGCAGCGGAGATATAATTAAGCGGCCTCTCACAGAGAGAACAGGGCAGTGTTACACAAGTTTCAGATGACTCCCTCCCTGTCTGTGTCCTTTACACACCACTGCATTTAGAGTACAAGTATTTAACACTTCATCACTGGAATGCATTTACATTTTTAGCCAGGCTTGAATATCAGGGTTTTGTTTGATTTCTACCCATGGTTAGGTCAGAGGTTACAGTGGTCGGTCATAAACACTAAGATCTTTCCATCTATAAAAGCCCTTTTAATATTGATGAATACTGATGATAACCTAGATGTTTAGCTGCACTACATATTCAACACAGGAAATTTACCTTTTTGATTGTAGAAATGATTGTGAGCTGTTGGGGGACAATTTGTGAAATCACATAAAAACTGTTCATGATCAGATTGATCCGAAATGTTGTGGACCATGTTGTGGAAATGCCCAATCTAGATTCTTTCTTTCTCCATGCACAGAAAGACACGAAGATCACAAATATTTCCACCCATAACACGTCAATCATGTCACCCAGTAACTGGCTTTTGGATGTCCACATTATCATTTGTTTTTCGACTTCAGATAACACTACTGCCTCTTTAATGGGGACACTCAAATCATTCCTCTAAAGTTTCATCACCTCTGGCCTCTTCTATTTCAGCCCCTCCGCCTCATGCTGGCATATAGTGGCATCTGTCACAAGTGAAATGCAGAAAATGTGCCCCATCAGCTTTAAGGACACGCTTGTGTTAGTTGGAGTTCATCCTGCTGCTTCACCCTAACATGTCTCACAAGCCTCCATTAAAACCTCATCAAACCTCTCTATCAACACCTGAAATATGTTTTCCAATCCAGACACAGTCCAGTTCAACAAACTCTCTCTACAGGTCTTTTCTGAGAAGAGTGGCAAAATTACACTGCGGGTTTCTTGTACACAAGCAGGGTTTTTCCTCTATCTTCCTCCCCCTACTCTCCTTTCTGGAGAGGCTAAAATTGGAGCTGCGAATCTGTGAACCATGTTTTCACCTGCTTCAGCTGCACAGTCAATCACCGACTAACTTTGAGTCTAGCTAACTAACTTTTAAGGTCGTGATTTCATGTGTGTAGACCAGATTGCAGGTGTAGGGCTCTGGACCTCTAGGAAATATCATAGGATGTTCTAAAGTTACATAAATTTCCTTACAGGCTTTCTTTAATCAGTTTGACTTCACTAAGCTCCACACCCTTTGGTTACTGTGCCTGTCTAGCTTTCAGTCCTGACAGGCCACATAATGCAGTTCACAATGATAATAGTGCCAGATTTACCGCTTGAAATTCTTTGTTATTTTTTGAAACAATTGAGTGTGTTTCCATTCGGCTGTTTTTATGTGCGTAAAAAAGCTGAGTGTAAACGCTTGACTGAGGTGGAAAACGTGTTGACATGTGTTACACATACGTTTTCCATCATTTGAGTTTTGACTGCCATTCTACATCATCGCATTGCACCCTCCTCTTCTGTAGTTGTTTAGTTGTCAGTTGGCAGGTGATTTGTGAATTAGCACCACCGGCTTTGGGAGGTGGAAATGGATGGAACGTATGCATCAATTCTTCCTTTTTTGCTGGAAATTATGAAATCAGTTGTCAATAGCCCGGTTTCCATCCAAATGTAATGCAAATATTAATCAGACAGAGGTAGACAATAGCATTGATCAATTTTGCATGTTGGAATGACGACTGTGGCCGATTTTATTAGCTAGCTAATTAAGCCAACATTAGCGAATTAAACTAATGTTAGCGCTTCCTCACCTGTGATGATCCATATAGTGGACATGGAAATAAAGAACCAGCTATGTTCTTGTATTTTGTATTTTGTTATGTAGAGCTAGTTTGTCCTTTTATGAATATTATTAGTTTTAAAAGGATAAATGTAAGATCAAAGTCATATTCAATGCCATCTTGACCCTGTTTGGCTTTTTAACTTAAATTCTTGTCTATGTTTTAAAATGGTAGAAATTGTAGTGTTGTATAGTTTTCAGTTTTTACAAGAATAAAGGGCTTGCGTTTAGCAAATGTTATCTGTTGACAATGGAGCAGGATTGAGCTAGTTACTTAGCCTGACCTCTAGTAGCATCCAGGACTGGCTTCCACACAGTGGGGAAATAAAACTACACATTGGATGTGCTAGTTGTGAATTTCTTTTTTTTTTTTAAAGTAACCTGCATGAATTTAAGCTGGCAGTAATTATGTAAATGCATTTTTGAACCTATGCATAGAGGGATTATCATTAAACTGCAGAGGCTCATGCACCAGTGTGCGAGGTGCAGACCTGTGTGTGAGGCAAGTTGATTTGTTGATTCAACTCTGGCTTGGAGGTGGATTCTAAATGAAAAAAAAAGAAAACATCAAATGTGTTTTGTAGATATATATCCAAAGAAACAGCCAGGCAAATGCCTCAGAGTGCCCCCTGTGTATGTTCCCTTCGCAGCCTGAAGAAGAACAATTCCAGCTTGTTAATCTAGGCTTGGGCTATTGTTGTTTTGAGGGTTTAGCAACCAGTCAGTTAGTAGGATATTGTCTATAAAAGCAAACCCTTCATTCCAGCTCTTTAAGCTTTCCTACCTCTGAGTTGAAGCGTATTTGACAGACGTTGCAGGAGATGATTGGCCGTTTTGTCTTCACCATAGGTGGCCCAAAGGTGTGCGTCATCACAGCCTTCTGGACAGGGTCCATCTAAAGAGAGACAACCCAGAGGTCACATCAAATATTCAGCAACACAGGAGAAACTCAGAGGGCAGCGCCTCAGTGTTTCTGCTAACTGCACTGCACCTTAAAGTTCAACGAACTGAATGTGGATGAGAGAGAAAGGTGTTGAAGAAAAAGTGTAGGTGAATGACAGGGGGAGCCGCTGAAGGGGGAGAAAGCTGGGAGATAAAAAAGAGTGAAGAAGAGTGAATTGAAGAGGGAGCAGTGATTGATGTGGACAGGAGGGTGTGTGTTTTCTCAGCAGCAGCTGGTGCTGCTGTCTGTGCCTGAGTTCTTGGGTGCTGTTCAAACGCTTTAATTCATGCTGGGGTTAGAAGAGCCTAATTACAGACTCTCTCTCCACAAACTTGTACTTTGTTTGTGTCCCACAAAACCTCCTCTTTTTGAAACATTATAAACTACAGTATTACACAAAACAATAGAGATATTTTCAGTGTAGTACCTTGGTATGAGATAAAATTATGTTATTTAGATTTTCAGCCCTCTGATAGCTGTAGCAACATTAGGTCTTTGTAGCAGGAGAAACAGTTTCAGCTGCAGGGAATGAATAAATTTGGCATTTTAAATGGTAAGGACCCTGAGTAATATGGCAATGTATTGAAAATATATGAAAATATATACAGTTAGTCTGGGTTTACATATGCAACAAAAAGTGGCTGTATGATTTATGGAAGGAAAACACTGATTTCTCACATTAATATACTGACTGAAGTTTGAATACGTATAGTAAACAGTGGGTTGACATACTCACTTAAAAGAGGTTTCATTTAGTCATAACAGAGGTTTAATTACTGTCATTAGAAATATGGACCCCAATGTTTATCCTATTAGGTGAATCACATAATAGGATTAAAATGTTTAAACAATTCAGAAGAATATTAGAAAAAATGATTAATATTAATCAAACATTAAAATATCAAATAACATTTTTATAATTATAATTATAATTAACGTTTTTGGGTAAAAGACTTTCAGGAAAACCACAGGATAAAATATCGAAGACACTATCTTAAATGAAATGAGAGAAACTACAAACATTGGCATATGTCTCGTTCATACCAACCCAGCTTGTCATTCTCAGATCAAGCACACATATATGCCACGTCATCCTCTTATGAAATGTTTTACTACCTCACTTTCAGGCGACTCGAATGGACTCGTGTGAGCTCTGTGACCCACTGGCAGAGTTCAACAACCACAGCGCTGGGTGTTGCCCTCATTAAGCAGCCAGAAGTACACTGCGGTTTTACTCAGCCTCTCATCCCCTGCTCAGACTGTGAACGTATGCTGCCAAATGAGAGACTGTTTACACTCTCAAGCTCCAGGCACCAGGGGAAATGGTATAATTGGTCTGAAAACCTAAACCCTGTTTGAATCTATTGTTAGAAATATTTATAGACTGCAACCTCATTTTTTTTTCTTTGCTATTATCTCTAACCTGTGTCCAGTTCACTTCTCTATTGTTAAGTGATATTCACGAGGAGACCTGAAGCACAAAGTTATTTGTTTACAGTTGTTTCTGAGCCAGCATTGCGTGTGTGTGAAGACACGACTGCTGGTGTGTTGTGTGTGTTTTTATGCATTTTAGTGCATTAATGTCTATGTGTCTGTGTGTGTGCCAACAAGCTAGACAAAAACAAGAACCCCTGTCTATCTCTTATTGGTGGCTGTTCTCCATGTGTGTCCTCCATCGCTGTGTGTCTTTCTCTGCCTTTCTTTGACCACCTGGTCTCTACAGGATCTCTTACCGTGCATCTTTCCCCACTGTTATGACCTCATTACCCTATTAGTCCACTTTTGTCTCCTCTTTCAGTCCCTCCTCCCTGAAACAGTGGAGCTTTTGTTACATCAGTAATTCACACGGGGTTGCCTGACTGTATATACATGCTCTCCATATATATGGCTATATAGTTCATTTGCAGCCCTGTTCTCTAACACACATTTTTACATTCTCTTTTTTGGTGACAGAAATGTCGTCACAATGGTGGTGGTTTGGTGAAAAGATCAATGCAGTTGTACAGGTCTTTGTAAGTCAACTAAAAGAGGTCATATCCCTTACACTGGCAAACAAATAGTAACACCACACAAAACACAATGTATCCTTGTGCAGCTCATGTCTAAATGCAAGAAGGTGATACCTATATTGTAAGTGTTAGGTCTCTGGTAATTACATTACCTGTAAACCTGGTGAGATAGGTGTGATATGCGCTCTCTAGATAACTCGTAGACCCCCCAAACTGGAGCATAACTATATATGAAACAATAAGCAGAAATTGAGTGTTTGTGTCAGACTGCCCTTCTCTGTGTCCTTTCAGCGAGCGGGCTGAGCATGGCCGTAGTCTTCCATCACTGGCTGACAGCAGTGTTGTAGGCTTGTTTAAATTTTACTGTGCAGACAGAGAGTGATTTGAAGTGAGGTGCTCTGGCATTAGTGGCCATACTCGATGTCCTCGACAAAGCAGGATGAAACATAACCTTGTGGAATGGCCATTTTGTTTGAGCGCATGCAGATTAGCTGAATGATGATGTATGTGTGTGTGTGTGTGTGTGTGTGTGTGTGTGTGTGTGTGTGTGTTTGTCGCCAGGCTGACCTTCACATGAAACCCAATCTGGAAATGAGAAGGACCAAGAGAAAATGCTGACTGTAGGGAACGCAGTCTGTGCCTCTTATACAATTGATTAGCTGTAACTCATTTTATTGCAGTAAAACACTCGCCAGGGCATTTTCTCAATTACGCTGAAACTCAGTCTGCTGACTAAAAAGTAAACAGCTGTCACCTTATCATTTTGGATTATACTGTATAAATCCTCAGCACTCTATCACTCGTCTTCACTCAGGAGGCAACGCGCCAAAACAACAGCTGAATACAAGCTTTGTCTTATGTGAAGTGAAACAAGACGATAACAAATCTTAGACGCCGTCTTTGCGCACGTGTGCATTCATGCCCGTGTGCGGGTGCGCCTCTGAGCACTCACTGTGTTAAAGTTGTGGAAGAGGCCGAGGCTGGCCGGGTGAGGCGACTCCAGGGGGAACTGGAGGAAGGGCTTCATGTCCAGCGGGGTTGGGATGACAGGCGGGCTCCTGAGGAAGGCAGGGACCGGCCCCGGTCGGTTTACACTTCCTGTGGTGGACGCACAAACGGGGAAATTAGAGATTAAAGATGAAAAAATCATAAAACCTCATAAATAATACACCTGCTCAAGTGGAAGTGACTGAAAACAAGACTCATTATACAAAGTGCGTTTGTAACAATACAACTACTACCACAACTGAATTTAAATATTTCATAAAGGAATAGTTTAACCTTTTGGGAAATGGGCTTATTTGCGTTCTTGCCAAGAGTTAGATGAGAGGGATACTGCTCTCATATCCATATGCTAAATAGCTTAGTACAAGTGGCTATCAAAGTTCACCAGCATTTCTAAAGCTCACTGATTATATCTAGTTTGTTTAATTTGTATAAACACTTAAGAGTAGAGACAGCAATTCACCATTTTTTGGGAGGTTATTTGGCAGACATTTTCTTGGCAGGTCACAGTGACTTCATGGGACACATAATCCATCATAAAACAGCATGCCACTTTTACTATTTGGTTTTTATACGGATAAACAAACAAGATATAACATGTTAGTAAGTGAGCTTCCATGGTGCTGATAGATCGAGGTTGTTATTGCTGGACAGAGCCACACTAGCTGTTTCCCCCTGTTTCCAGTCTTCATGCTAAGCTAAGCTAATCAGCTGCTGGCTGCAGCTTCATATTTGAAGAGGCATAATCATGCACACATGGTGTATAGGTGTGAGGTTTTTGAAAAGCAGGATCAATGAAAGATTATAATTTTGACCTGAAGAAATCTGACTGTGGACCAAAACAATGTCTTTATTCATAAATTTACATTTTTATTGAGTAGTTTCATATTTTCCGTCAGACATGAGAGCATCAATCTTCACATCTAGCTCTCAAGAAATTGAAAAAGCCTATTTCCTTAAGTGTGGAGCAATTTCTTTAAAGCTAAACATCATATCAGAATAGACACCTGTTCTACAACGTCCTCTAACCGTAACAGTAATAACACTGTAATAAATCTAATACTCAGTTTTTTTTTTCTAAATCTAAACTCTCATCTTCTGCGTCATTTTGCCATGTTGAGCCCCACTACCCACCCACACGTCTCCTCTCTCTGCCTCTCTTGCTGACTTTTCTCTCAGTAGTAGCTCAGCAGCAGTGAATGCCTGCACTTGAGGAGTCTTCTGTGATGGGCAGGAGAGCAAAGCTCCTTAAGCCTCACAGCTGGGATGCTGCAGATATCCGTCTTTTCTCCATTTCTGCCTCTGTCTCTGTCTCACCAAGCGTCGCTTTCTATCCCCATTTCATGGTGCCTTATTCTGTTTGCCTGCCTCTGTATCGCTCATCTGTACTTCTCCTCTCTCCAGCACCAGTCCTTCTAGCTGCTTTGTTCCTTCTTCTCCTTCTCCTCGTTCTCATCCTCTTTCTGTTTCACTCTCTCCATTCCACTTCTGCTTCCCACAGTTATTCTTCTCTTTAGCGTAAAAGCAGCAGGGCGCTTCAGGCCCAATCTGGCTACGCAGAGAGAATTTGTATAATCTTTTCTCCAGAGATTATATGCAATTGTCATCCTTCTTTGCCTCGTCTTTGTGATGACTACTTAACAATTTTGTTACATTTGAAAAGAAAAACTGGTCACTTGTCAACACAAGGGGAAGAAAAGACTATTTTGGTAACAGCAGAGGAGGCTCCTTTCACTGACAGCAGGGAGACGTAAAGAATGTGCTGTCAGGATCAGAAATAGATGGAGGGGAAAGTCTCTCCTTCTGGTATTCCTCTTCAGACTGTTTCACTTCTTGGGAGGCTGTGGCAGCTGAAGCTCAGTTACTGTTGTCATTTGCTTTTGCGCATGCTGCATGAGGAGGAAGGAGTTCAGAGGGTAGGAGGAGAAATAAAATATA